CATAAATGAATGCTAGCTTACGAGTGAGTGTGTGTGTGCGTACGCGTGTGTGTGTGAGAGTGAGTGAGCAAGTGAGTGCATGTGTATGTGTATTATTATGCTACTATTTCGATATGGCAATGTCACCATGTATTGTGTACGAATGTGTGAGGCTGCTAAGACGGCAGCCACTGTTGCTTTAACTGGCTATTGTTTGCAGCTTCAGCCGTAACCACACTCCGTTAACTGCCACGCCCTGCGCTCCTTAGGATCCATCAAGTTGTCGGCGGCTGCTTTTGTAGTCTTGTTGTTGTTGCGTCAGCAAATGCACTGCATTAATGCCACACGCTATTGAGTATGAACCATGTGGTATATATAGAGCACCCGGATTTTACTTCACTTTATGCAGGAATTTAGAACAGTCGGGTTTTACCTTACTTTGTGCATGTTCTGTATCAATATGAAATTTATAGAGTCAATTGGTAGCCTGTATAATATAAAATGACATATACATGTAGAAATATAAGGTCAACACTCTCGTTCGACAAGCTGCTTACATTTTTATCAAATTGAGCATTTCTCTGCAGTCTGTTGCTTAGTTTCAACGTCTTTGTTGTTTTATGTGTAATCTTGAAAGCTTCTTGAGAGCTGTTCTGATTCCATAGCTTTCGCTCAGTGCCATGGCTATAAAAAGGGCTCACCTCTCGACTGAATGAGGAAAGGCATTGTCGTGCGTTGCATTGTTTTTTGTGCATTAAGTTCCACAGAATATTTGTATGCTGCTAGTTGATCGAACCAACTGTTGAGAGAGTGTTTGAAAAAACTTTCGAGTGCTATCAAAGTGGAAAAGTTAATACATTGGTGATCCCTCTGACAGTAGTCATATCACTAGAAAATGTTGACTTCTCTCCAATAGCATGCAATTTAGGTTGAACAAACAAATGAGAGCGTGAACAGCAGCGCATAGGCCAACTTGCGGCACCAGCTGCAGCATCGGCTCTGCCGCAAAGGCCATAAAATCGGCAGCCAATGAGTCGTGTGGCCAAATAGCTAATATAGTTACTGCTGTAGTAGGTCCTTGTCTAGTCAGTATTTGTATTGGGCTTTTGGCAGTGCAACATTTCCCCAGAGAATTTTTACTTCCAAACTGTTACTGCCACTTAAGCATATGCTTACCAAAAAAAAAAAAAAAAAACTTCCTGTGAACAAATACAAAGCGAGAAAGAAAGGAAGATGAGGACAACGCTTGGTTGTTGCTTTTTATTGTTTTGCGCGCATGTAATGCATTTTTTGCTCTCTTTTTTGGCAGCTCTTTTGTTGTAGTTTTAATGACAGCCTCGAAATTGTCGCCTTAAACTCAGCAAAGATGTCGCGTCGCTTCAAAGTATGCAACTTTTTTAATGGGCTCGGTATAAGTTTTTATATATTTTTTGCTATTCTAAAGTTGGGCGTAAAATGTTGGGCAGTTCGGTGGTTTTCAACTTAAGAAATGCTTCGCTTCAGTTGCTATTTAAGAGCTTTTGTAGGTTTGAAGCAGCTTAGATATATATGCACTGATTGGGCTTAAAATTCTGAATTTTAAAGAGTTTGGAAAAAGTGAGATTTAATGAATGACAGAAAGGATTGAAAAGAGCACATTAAAAAGAGCACATTCCATTTCCAGCTTTAGCCGCAATTTAACGCTCAAGTTGAGTGATAAAGCAATGCTTGCGGCATTTGGATCCATTTAAATAAAAGTTATAAAAAGTTGTCTGTCGCCGCGTTTACCTCGCAGTCATAAAACACTCAACGCGCATACGCCATGTGTTACAGCAAACTAAAGTAAACCAACGAAAACAAGTAAGAAAGCTCTAGTCGAGACTACTCGACTACGAGATCCCCTGAACGCTTCGAGCAATAGATATTTCAATAATTTTTCGCGTCTTTCAGCTTACTTAAGAAACACGCACACACACACACAAACACACACACACACGCACGCACGCACACACAAGCATACATACACACACATACATACACACACACATACACACACACACACACACACACATACACAAACAATTACATACATATACACACACAAGCATAAACACGCATGGGCTGCAGTGAGCGCTTACTATGAGAACTTAATTGCTTAATAACTTTTTTTGTGGACGTACGATCTTCATGAAACTTTCAGATTATGATTATAACATGGATACGCATGTAAGCACAAGTCTCTAGTATTTGAAATACGCTTTTTACAAAAGTGAGGGTGAGGGGGTGAATTTAAGGGTGGGGGGTAAATTTTAACAAAAACCGAAATCTAGCAATAAAGGTGTAGAAGATATAATTTTATAACTGGTTTTCGATAAGGGTTTTTATCGATAAAAAAAGATCGGGATGAGTTATCGACTTTTAATGATAAATTTGATATGCGCGTTGTAATTACGGACATTTTAAAAAAATTTGAAGTGTCTAGCTCATATATCTTCTGAAATCGACGCGTTCATACATACGGACAGACGAGGGGACAGACAGACGGACAGGCCCAAATCAACTCAGCTCGTCACCCTGATCAAGAATATATATACTTTGTGGGGTCTGCCACGCCTCCTTCTGCCTGTTACTACATTTCAACAAAACCATTGTACCCTGATTTCCCATTGAAAATGGGTTCAGGGTATAAAAGTAAGGAGAGCATTTAAGAGAGCATCAAAAAGCAGCTCATGCCATATCCAAACATTTTTAATTAGCCTAATGAAAAAGTTCAAATGTAAGGGAAAAGGAAAAATCTTGCAATTTTTCAGAGCTGCGACAACAAAAGGCGATGGTTGCCGACAAATGGGTAAAACGCAGCGCAAATAGGAGAGCAATAATTTTCGCCATTGTTCGCGCAGAAAGCGGAGAGGCAGGATGCCCCACCGTTAAGGAGCTAACAAAGAAATGCAATAAACGTGAAGCGGTAGACTGAGTGAAAGATAGGAAGAGAGCGGGATATGGAGATGGAGGGATGCAAAAAAATTTTCGTGAATAATACAAATATGAGAAGTCCCCTCGTCCTGACTGGAATCCTGGCTATTCGCCATTGTCCTTTGGGCCCATCAGCAAATAGCGCCAATTACGAAAATGGCGAAGGTACGATTGGAAAATATTCAATTAAAAATAAACCTTTCCCTGGTCACTTAAGGACATATATAAACTACTTACGAATCATGGGAAACGGCAGACACTGCATCATAATTGATTTTTGCTGTTGTTATTTCCGAGTCACTTTGTCTTATTAAATATTTAGTGGCGAAGCTGTCAGAGACATCCACTTTGAATGACTGGTCTCTACAACACCAACAGCAACAACAGCAAACAACTTACAAAAAATAAAGTTGAAAACTTTACTCGCGCTCATGAATATTGTAGGTGGCCTAATGGGCCAATTGCTCGAGTCTAGCTTCCAATACGACAATTATTTAAATGCTTTCTAAGAATTTGACTTATTCTATTCTTTTTACGCACGCATTCGTGTGTATCCAGCCCGATAATTGCAACAAAATGCAATTTTTTCATTTGGCAGCAACATGAAAGCAAATCCCAAAAAAGTGGAAAAGTCGACAGCACTTTGACACTAAACAAGCAAAAAAAAAAAAAAAAAAAAAAACATTAAAAAAAGGTATAAGCAAACCTAAAGAAATAAAATTGGGAAGAAAGAAATCGCTGTTGGCTCAACCAAGTTTTCGCACAGCGTAGAGGATTTGCCGCCAAGTTTTGAGGGTGAACAAATTTCAGACTTCAAGATTGCAATTAAAAAAGGGATTTCGTGACTCTGACTGAGACTTTGATTTTTAGCCGTACCAGAAGCAACCAACAAGTTGGTCTTTTCTGCTTTCCGACTAAAAGTGGAGCAAATTAAAATTTTATAATGACGGTGATTAGGCCAACAAACGACTACGTCCGAATTGCCCCACACAGCTCGCACAGCGACGCGCCAGTCCGCCAGTAAATCGCAGCTTAGTAGATTTCGCAATATTATTATTATTATTTTTAAGATTTCGTCGAAAGTACCATACAATTTATAGGAAATTCGACATTAGTAACACTTAACCCAATCTGAAATTAACAAATGAATCACTTATTACAACTGATAACCACAAATACAAACTTGAAGCACTTGAAGCTAAGTTTTGATTACCTAGCTTCTCAATTCATAGGGTGAATAGGACTCTCTTCGATTTCTTTAATGTGTATAATAATAGTGTGTATTCGAAAGTTCAAAATAGTCTAAAATTTCATATGCTGTATAAATATGCTGTTGTATATAAATGCAAATGCATAATAATTATTTAAATTCAATTCGGAATACACAAATAAATTCGGACGCTCAGAGCATAATCAACATGTGAAAATTTATTTGGCTGGCCTGTGTGCACAAGAATTTTATAATGATAAATTAATTATAACTGTTATTAAAATTAAAAGAATTTCAGCTACTGTTTTTTTATTTGCTTTTTATATATAAATTAAATAACTTTATTTATTTCAATTATATTAAGTTAGTGCTTTATATACAGAATTACGGTCGTTTTTGTTTGGTTGTATTTGTTGCCATTTGTTTGTTTTAATTTAAAATGTGTAATTTTTGCTTAGTACATTTTTTTATGCTTAACAATTGAAGCTGCAACAACATTTAACAAATCATTTTTAATACATATATATAAATTGTTAATTAATCATATATTTTTTTTTGTATTGTTTTATTAATTTTCACGTTTTGCGCAATGGAAAATTGAATTGGAATTACAATTGGGTGCGAAGGACCAACAGAAAATCAAACCAAGGTAAGCATTTTATTTATGATGGGAAAAGTTTAGATTAGTTATGTTATAATTATAGTAGAGCATAAAGCGCTTTCCGTATTAACATTTTGACTTTTTTTCCCTTGGCCAAAAAGATAGTCTCAAACTAAACTAGAAATATTTTCACCATTTATCAACTAGGCGTTTCATTTGCAGTTATATATAGTGTGGCTGTATGTTTGTGTGCGCGGCTTTTAATAGAGTATCACATTTATTGGTATCGAAATACATTTTTTACGCTCTATCAATAACTATGACTTGGAGATACTCTCTCCCTCCGTCTATGTCTCTGTCTCTGAGTGGGTCCTATTTATATACCTCTGGTTACTACTGGTCCGTTTCCAGATTCTTGGCACGCAGATACTTGAGCAGCATTTGCAGCGAGTCGTAGGTATCAAAGTCATCTAGATTGCGTCGCGAAGAGGACATATTTGTAGGCCTAGGCATGGCCAGGGGAACGGGCAGCAGCTCCGGCATAACAGAGTGATGGGTTATTAGAGCCTTTAAGCTAGAGAACTCCTTGCGAAAACCCTTTAATCATAATAGCTGCTAAGAAAAAAGTTCGATTAGATGTGGCAAGTCTTACCTTAATCTTATATCCACGTGGCGAGCGCAGTATTATATAGTTGGCAACCTTGGGTCCGGGAGGTGAGGGTACGCGTAGGGTAAGCGCATAGCAGTCGGGCTTAGAACTGCTCTTTCGCACAAGGAATGCACCTGGACTCTTGCTCTGCAGCACCTCGACTGCGATGTCACGCGAGATACCGGCCTGATACCAACTTGCTGCTTTAAGCTCTGTGTCTGACTCCTCCTCCTCGTCATCCCGAGCTGTGTGCGTGTCGGCCAAGCTGCTGCTGCGCTGAGTAGCTGCTAAACTCGCTGCAGCAGCAGCAGCGGCAGCGGCTGTAGCTGAGGCATTATTGAAACGCAGGCGATTGGCGAAGATCTTGGGACTGGAATTGGCTGTGGGAAAAACATTACAGAACCGATACACGGGCACAGATCAGGACAGAGCCTGTCTTTACATATCTCTATCTCTCTAGACTCTCTTACCGCTGCTGGTTTCGCGCAGATATCGCTTCTTCAGATTGAATTCGCTGTTGTCATTGTTGAGATTCACATTGTCCAGCATGGGTATGGCTGTCAGAGATTGACGGCAGGAGTCGCCAAATTTACTGTCTATATACGAGTCCTCATTGATGTAACCATTCGAGTAGATGGGCTGACCAGCGTGCTCACAGCCCAAAGCAGCTGCGCTGAGGGGCGTTACGTTTGCCACCAGTGGGCGTGACTCCTCATTGTGACGCAACAGACCCATGGTCAAGCGCTTAACCTGTGAATAAAGTGGTTGAGAATGGCTTTAAAGGAGCTGTTCACGAGGAAACAAAATTAACTACAATTTAAACACCTTGTAAGCTGCGTAAAGAGGCGCGCGTGGGCGTGCCCCAAGCAACCAACAAGAAGAGGAAAAAGGAAAAAAAGCTAAAAACACCCAAGAATTTATTACCAATCCCACAACTAGACAAAAAGCTTGGTAGAAAAACTTTTTTGCGCCTGCACTTAAACAGGAAGCGGATGCTTGGACTAGGAATTACTAGTCGGAGCAGAGTCGTTGCCAAAGAAAAGGGCGGGGCCATAAAAGGCTGTCGCATAAATTGAAGGACAACTGCGAGAAGGAGGCGCGCTGCAGTCGCAGTTGCAGGATGCCTAAATGTAGCCAAGCAACGAATGCGGCGGATACGGAAGTGGCGTGCTAAGCGGAATTGTGCCGCAGGGCTACCAGCAGCAAGAAAAAAAAAGGTACAGAAAAATACATAGAGAGAAAGGGAGACAGAGAAAGATACAGTGAGAACAACTGTGTGGGCATAAAGGAAACTGAGAACAGGCGGCGATAATTCAGATGCATTTGTGCGCGCATGTTGAGATCATGTTAGCAAACGCCTGTTTCTCTGGAGAGTAAATGGAACTTTGACTATGGCAAGCGATATGCAGGAATTGAATAAAAGAGTGGAAAGGCTGCATAAGACAGCAGCAGCAGAACACAGAACCTTACTCATATTGAGTTAACTTAAGTTTATTATAGATCAGCTGACCTATGCCTAATATGGAATGTTTACCCGCAACCATGACATGAATTGCTAGTGGGAAGTATTATAAATCTTTATCAAACAATTGCTAATATTTTTGTGTAAACTTATCCTTATCATCTCAACGTACAATGTACCATATTTAATGGAATCTGTTCGACATTTTCAGGTTATTTTGCTCTAATATATTCTAGAATGAGATTTCTTGTTATATTTTTCTACTTGTTTGTAAGCGTATTTAAGTGTCGGTATTCTTCACTTATAATTTCTAATTTTTTCCTATTTATTTTTTTATATTTCTTTTTGGGGTCAGTGGCTTTGAAAATCTGCCTGACTGTATAGAACGGCTGCGCCCGAAAGTAGACTACACTTTTGCGGTTGTATGTGTGTGGAATAATTTAAGGCGACATTGACAATGAGACGGCGCGCCGCGGCGGTGGCGTTTGTGCAGTTTTCATTCGTCGGCTGCCTTGAACGGTTTTCTGACTACCTGCCTCGGTACCTGACGGCAATTGTTTGCTCATTGCTGCATAATTTAACAGGCATGAACGTTGCATACACTTTTTTACATATTTCACAGCGCATCGCACACTGATTTAATTTGTACGAAGAATATTATAACACGATTTACACAGTAATCACACGAGTGGTGCACACTGTAATATCATTTAATATATTTATAAGAGCTTGCAATATATTCGACTCTACGGGTCGATAAGTACCAAATATAATATTTTATGGTACATTAAGTTGAGCTATTGAACTATGCCCAGACTCTCTCGATCCTCTGATTTATTAGTTTATCATATATAAATAAGTTAGCTGATTTCATAAATTAGATAAACGCAGACGTTCCCGAGACGTAGACGTTCCTGCTAGCATTTTGTTTTGCCCACTTACATTTCAAGCACGAATATAAGATGTTGTTGCTAAAAGTTGGACTTTGATTTGCTTTTTGCTAAAAATTTCCCATTTGCTGGCCATAAAGAAAATGTGCGCCAGACTAATTGGGATGTTGCTGGCTTAATGAACTGGCAGAGTCGGGACATTTGGCATCAGCTGTTGTCAATCACTCCTCCAGCCACTGAGCTGAGCTGTACCACTGTAGGTAGCTGTAGGTGGCACGTGCAAGCTGCCGCAACCCAAAACATTTATGCAAATTTAATAAACTGTAACGAAATGAGGAAGAGAGGAGATGGAAAGAGAAAGAGAGAAGGAGAGTGACAGAGGGCAAAGGAGTGTGGTACGCTTAAATCAGGCAACAGATTGAGGGGCTGTGCTGTGTGGCCTGTGATAGGCGGGTCCACAAAATATTATTTATTGCAGGAGTATGATATACAAGTGGGCGTGTCATGCACCGGCCACATGTGGCTCTATCGTCTGTCGCTCACTGCCAGACAGCAAAATAGAGGCAGCTTTAAACGATATATTCGACTCTCAACTGTGAGTGTGGAGCAGTGGCTGTTGCAGTTGCTAAACAAACATTTAGCGATAGCGAGTCAACAGCATCGATGCATCAGCTCTAGCAGAAGCAGAAGCAGCAGCAGAGGGAAACAAGGATCAGACGACAGGCAGCGCATCATTTCCGGCAAATACAGAGAGAGATTCTGTGTGTCCTGCTATGCGGGTGAAGTGCATAATGTGCCATCGTCCATTTGTCTTTGCTGCCTTCACTCCGCGATTGGTTTGCCTGACTTGCCTGGCCGGGCTGCATGTGCAACTTGTCTGCTGCTTTATTTTGCTTATCTGAAATTGAATCAGGCAGTCAAGCAGACGAAGAGGACGCCAACTTTGCCATCGGGCACAATTAGGGCCGCTACAGGCACACTCACTGCGTCTCTGTGTATGTGTGAGTATATGTGGCTACGAGTGTGGGCTGCAAAAATTAATTTGCTTATCGCGCTGCAGCCGCTCCCTGCCACAAAATGATGTTATTGACAGCGCACCCAGCACACGAAGGCAGGCATAAGTAAAAAACTATGCCTAGGGCAGAGCGAGGGAGAAAGGATAGAGCAATATAGCATAGGCAGTCGCCACGTGGCGTATGCGTGTTATGTTTATAACAGAAATTGATTTATTGACAAAACAACGGGCGTACGACTATCGACTAGGGTATACTCTGTAAAAGTAACCCATAAAAGTGTTTGCATTTAAGCAGCTTAAATTGTTCTTCTATGTAGGCAAGTTAAAAGTTAAAATAAACAAATTTGAAGTGCAAATTTATGTGTTTATATACTTTAAATAGTTTAAGAAAATATAAATAGTTGCATGCTGCATTATATCAATTGATTATCTATAAATCTAACATTCCAATATACTCAATTTACAATTGTTGTAGAGCGTATAAGAAACGAATATGAGAAATGCCAAAGCAAAGTGCTGAACCCTTTTTTTTCTTATTTTTTTTTACTCTAACATATGTGTTTTCCCCGTCTTTTTGGTTGTATTGCTTTTTTTGGTTGATGTCTTTAACTCAACCGTTTTGCATTTGGTTTTTTTCGGGGAGCTATGCTGACAATATTTATGGCTTGCTATTAGGGCGAACTGATTGGTTTTCGCTTTCGATTTGGGTGCGTTGCAGAATGTCAATGCTTCTGTTTTTTTTTTTTTTTTTTAAACTTGTTGAAAGTGTGATATGACCTTGGAATTGAGTTTGTGGCTCTTGAAAGTCGTGCTGTGCTGCACTTTTGCTTCATTTAAGGGCCATTAGCTCAAAACGTAATCATCATAATGCGCCTCCGTAGTAGTCGGGCCATAAATAAGACAAACACATTACGCATACGCCGCGTGCACACAGCACATGGGAGCAGACGATGTCGAGTCTCTTCTAAGAGTCTCTCTCATATGAATAAACTCGCACGTACTTATCGCATAGACTATGCTCGACTGCGCACAGCTGCCTCACTATAGCCAGGGCGATATGTGTGTGTTGCCTGTCCTATGGTATGAATATTTAAGGCGTCAAATTTATGAAAATAACGTGCCTCAACTTGACTCAAAGTCGAACTTGATGGCGAAGTCGGCAGCCAACTAAGCCAAACTTCTGTAATGCAAAGTTTTTTGGCTTCCTATATTCTCGAGTCGGGCAACGTGACGAAAAAAACATGAAATGACAAAACATTTGATAAACATTGCCCATGTAGAGCAGATCAAAGCTCCACTCTTTCTCGCACATGTCCTCCGACGATGGCTAAGGACTGCGCATTGTTCAAGCAGACAATCACAATGCTTATCTTATATCAGAGCAAAGGTGGAGTGCTCTATCCCAAGAGTGAAGAGCTATATTTTTCCTTGCCAGTATGCTACCTACATAACTCATGTGGAAGCTAGAACCTAACTAAACATATTTGACATAGAAACTAAAGTACGCTACATCTTCCGACAGTGTATACAAATGACAGCAAAAGGTCTGTGAGACAGCTGAAAGAATGGCCAAAGATCTCTGCTTGGCAATACATTTCGAAATGCTTCAAAAGTTGCCTCAAATTTTCTTTTTTTTTTTTTTTTTCTTGCCCAGAAAACTTGTGACAAGTTACACTAAGAGCCAAAGAGAAGCCTTGCCGAGAAGGTTTAGCTGCGCTTAGAGCAAGCTTTTCATGTCTTCCCTATTTTTTCCTTCATTTTATTTCTGCCAATAATTCATAGAAAGCGTCAAATGCAGCAGAATAAACAGTGAACAAAAAAGTCTAGGCAGAATCCATAAATTTTCAAAATATTTGCGCAAAGAAATTGTGCATGAAAAAAAAAAACCAATAAATGGCCGCAGTTGGCGAAGTTGAAGGCACCCTTATCAAAGTCAAAACACAAACATATCAAATATGCAATGATTAAGGGCGGGCAAAGGAGGCTTGGTTAGTGGGTGCCAGGAATGGTAAGCAGTATGAGGTTACTGTTAAAGTACTTTGATAATAAAAGCTTAGGACGAGATGCTAAACCAAGGAATCACATTACGATGACAAAATACCCTTTAAGAGAAAAGATTTAGAATATATAGAAAGATGAATATACGTATGAGACAGTTGAGAGTAACTGAGGTGTAACCCTTTATATTGGGCTTCTAATGGGTTTTACGTACCAGTGGCGGTTTGTCCGTTAGCCGCTTGCAACTGTTGAGCTCGGTGGGTGAGTTATCCTCATCTGAGCTAGGAGTATGCGCCCCCTTTTCGTTATCATTACAGCTGTTAAATACATGCATACTTTATCAAGAGTGTGTGTGTATTGGAGGTGTGAAATGCTTAAAGTAGCTTTGCGTTGTGATGAGATGATTAAGCTTTTGGGTAGGGATTGGGTTCGCTGACTATTCTACTCACTTAAGATTTGCCTGGCTGAACAGCTGCAATGGTCGCCGTCTGCCCAGGCTGGCAGGTGATGTGGGCGTGGCATTGCTTAATGTGGATCGGCCACGCGAGGCGCTCAGATAGTGGTACGAAGTGCGAGACGTGTGGTGCACCGATGGCGGCTGCGTCTGTTGCTGCCGACTATTGCAGGACGATGAACGAAATCGAGCGCCAGTTATAACTGCGGCCAAATTGGCGGCAATGCGGTTGTCGAAGCGGTTAAAATAAGAGCTGCCATTCGAATTCGATATCGAATGCGAGTGGGTGTTGTTGTGATTGTCAGCGGTGGGCGATGAATTGTTGCTGCTGCTGGCGCTGCCATTGCTGTTGCTGTTGCCGCTGGCAATTGTTGCCGCTGTGCCTGCTACTGATGTGGCTGTAGCTGTAGCTGTTGGCCGTGCTGCTATGGGCAGACAGCTCTTCTCATAATCCAAATTATTGTTGGTTATCATTGTGCGTCGTCGCTTTCGGCATTAACTTTTGCAGTGTTTTTGAATTATGTGCGCGCATATAAAAACGCTGCGGGCGGCTTTTGTCGCACTGCGTGAGATTCGCGCCGGCAGAAGCCCCGAGCCACACCACACCAGGATGGGGAAAGGGCGAAGGATGCACAGTGTGGAGCAGTTGCGGCTGTTATTAAATTCTCTACTAGCCACAGGGGTCGCGCGCTACTTCAGACTAACAGCAGGCGAGAAGGACGTGCAGAACGGGGCAGGACGAGTGCCAAAGCAACGACGTAGATTTAAACACAGAATTAATTCAAGCGGAAATTGGCAACAAAAGCAAAAAAAAAAAAATAAAATAAATAAATAAAGAAAAAAAAARGCATGAAAAAGCAAAGCAAAATCGAAAGCGTGAAGTATAAACAAAATGTGAAAATGGGGAGAGCCAGACGAGATAGAAAGCGAGAATGAAAACGCATATGAAAAATATGTTGGTTTGGGGCAAACCGCAAAAATGCACATAAATACGGGCGGCAAGAGAATGGAATGGGCAGGGGGATTAAGGATTCACAGGGGTTGTTTAGAGGGGTTCCGATTGGTCAGGGGTCGCAACGAAATGACGTCAGCAAATGTAAAGCGCATAAATAGCAGGATTTTTGCGTGATTTGAATGATGACGATGATGGTGATGATGATGATCGTTGTTGTTCATTTGTTTATTGTTGTTAATATGATTTTTTGATAGGTTGTTTGAAGCGAGACAGTATTTGTAGTACGTATATTTGTTGTTGTTATAGGTGTTTGTTGGCCAATTTCATAGTTGAAAATGTTAACCAATTAGTTGCCAATTTTTTAATTCCGTTTGTAGATTTTTGTTTGTTTGTTTGTTTGAGCCAATTTCGGTTGAATTTGATTGTATTGCAGTCCGAAAATATTCATGTAATTACAAAGTGAAAGAGGGAGAAAGCGTTTAGTGTTGTTTATATTGCAATATATATATATATATA